TCCATAGTGGTACTCAGTATTTACCCCTAACCGTAGAAGGGAAGTTTTGCGAAGACTAATCACAAATTCGCCGCCACGAAAGCACCAGTGATAGCCGTCTGTCACGTACTGTATCTCCTAGAAGAGGCAGTTGTATAAATAAGTCTTTCTTTTCTGCACTTGCAACGACAGACTTTATGACATGCTCTTTAATATTCCGGAAGATGTCTATTTCTAAATAGTCGTTTTCGCCAAATGCGCTGTGCAACTGCTGAAGTTCTGTTTCAACAGTTTCAGGAGAACAGATTCATTGCGATGTGACGGCGAACCACCTAGACTAAATTTCGTTCAGCTACGCTACCGCGCATTTAGAGTTTCCTGCCAGCCTGCACAGAACGACACTATTTCCAATATGGTAAAAACTGCAGCAAACAGGATGCACGCTTTTTCTCCATTTATTTCATTCCCTGACTACTAAAATTCCCCTTTACCACCACCGCAGCTCTTGATATAATCCCTTTACTATTCCAGTGAAAAGTCTTCGCAACCGAGTTCTGGGAGTGTGCAGGCGGCGGAGAGCCTCCTGCGGGTTCTGCACTTCATTGTGACTAGCCGATCTATCCACGGTGTCGGCTATTTTGACCCCTCAATCGTCGCGGCCATACCCTCCTTACCACAACTCTTTCCCCCCGACTTCAATGATCTGGACGAGTCGTTGGAGATCGAAGATGCCGTCCTGGTGGATGATATCATTCACCAGCTCTGCCTGCGTCCTATGACCCCCTCAGAGGTCTGTTCTGCCCTCCCGTCACACACTTTCCGTAGTTGCCTCTATGAGTTGCCGCCTTACTGTGGCCTCCGTGGCTCAGCAGGGCACAATTCCAGCACCTCAATTGGCGACAGAAAGTTGGCTGTTAGGCGACTAAACGACAAGATCGGTCCAATCTCTAACATATTGCAGAAAGTGGCCACACAGATGTTAGTGGGAGAGGATGTGAAAGTTACTCTGCGGCCTGATGTTCTGGTCGTTCGATTTGACCTCTTCCATCCTTCCTATGGGTCGAAGCAACAAAGCGAAGTAAGTGCCGTATCACGTACCTGCTACTAGCAATTGCTGGGTAACTCATAGACGCTCGGTAGTATGCGGCGAATGATGTACATTAATTCCTTCACAGGCCAAGGACGCAGTCATTCAGAGCTTGACGCAGGCTCATGAAGTCAACGCTAACCTCTTCCCGGTGGATTTTCCTATTCCTCCACCGCCACCTCGTCCTCGACGACGTTTTCTAAGTCATCTGAATGCCCCTATCCTGCGCTTGCTTCGCTGTCCAACCTTCGTCCGCCTCCTCCGTCAACTGCTGGACATTGGCATCAAGTATGGGAGCCAGCAGTCGAGATGGTCTGAGACCCTTCTTGAGCTGGTCCTCCATCTGATAATTATTGCTCTATACGAGGACTTTGTAGCATTCACGTAAGTCATGGGTAATTATAACGGTACGCTTTGCGATCCAAAAACCATTTGGGTTCTAAAACTTGGCCCTTCTTTCTCCAGTGAAACTGGCGAAAGACCCTTTCTAAAAGCGGTCAGTCTAGTGCCTGAAGCGTCCGAGAGTGCCGAGGAGTTGGAGCACCTTGCCGAACTACGACACTGGGAGAGGCAAGACCCTCCCGCTTCTACAAACTAGTGAGTGCAATTTCAGCTTTTGTCCTGATTGTATTCTCACTCGTCCTCTCAACATTCTGCGCCGCCTTTGCAATGCGCGAACTTGTTAGCTTGAAAACTGGAAGTGACATACTAGTGTTCAGTCCTCAATCATTTCACCTTTCTTTAGTGTATGTCCACTGTTATCATTGGAGTTTCGGAGGACGAGTTTTCTTTCACGTATTTTGTCATCAAAAATTTTAAAATAAAAAATTTTTGTCGGTCATGGCCATCTCGTTTGCTAACGAGTGCTACTGTCGTAGCATTTTTAAATTTTACCCTCTAAGACTTCTGCACAATGTTTTCATTGTGTGTGGTGTGTGTGTATCTGTTCGACCATCGATTCTATGAAGTTCACCAAGTACACCAAAAGGATGCTTCAGAAGGTGACGGTCTTAGGGGATAGCTTTCAATTTATAGCGGACGTATTTAGCGCCAACCGCACTCGCCCCCTTCGTCCGGAGTCAAGAAGACTAAACGGGACCTGACATAGGCGGCTTTCTCCAATGCAAACCGAAACACTGCCGTACTTAGTCTTAAGTCACAGTAGCCTTTCGCGCTGGTATTACTGTACTATCTACCCTCATTCACCCTAAGTACAGTAGATTCACTATCTCATGCAATAACTGCCGGAATTGTGCAATAAGTTTTCGATTGGAACATATTAATTCCGGATGGTTGTAATAGAGATGACCATACAGCCTAATCTCACCATATTTTAGACACTTAAGGAGGCCGGCTTTCTAACAAGTTTCTTTCTGGCCGCCAAGACAAAGCACGTTCTATAAAAAGTGACTACTTAAGTAGTATGCCTTCTTGTCATTAATTTCGACTGCTTTTATAGATTCAAATATATTTTTTGAAAACATGCACGAAAATATTATTTCTTATACTCTTTTGGTAGCACATTACGCCTTCTTTAAATTTTATACTTAAAGGAGGGTTATCTTTCGGTTTTAAAAAG